GATTTGGGAATATTTTATGATAACTATTATGTTTGGAAAATAAAAAATTGTTTTGAAAATTTACGTCGTTACAACTTGGTTTATTGAGTGGTTCCTAACTTATAAAAAGGTCAAGGACGAGCATCAGGGACCCCACGATAAGGTGTAGTCGTTACCCATTCCCATGTGGAAGTGAGAGGAGATCACTATGGACTTCATCACAAAATTTCCTAGGACAACATGTGGTGTTGATTCTATCTGGGTCATTGTGGACAGATTGACCAAGTGTGAACTTTTTATCGTGATTGCTGAGAACATATCTATAGATAAGCTAGCCGATATTTATATCAGGGAGGTGGTAGTTAGGCATGGGGTGCCAATTTTGGTTTTCTTGGATCGGGACGTTCGCTTCACCTATAGGTTTTGGAGAAAGTTTCATGATGAGTTGGGATCTCAATACAACATACCACCCTCAGACCGATAGCCAGAATGAGCCGACGATCCAGACACTCAAGGATATGCTTCGGGCTTGTGTGTTGGATTTTGGAGGAAGTTAGGATACTTATTACATTGGTCGAGTTCTCTTACAACAACAGTTATCACACTAGTATTGATCGAACACCATTTGAGATGTTGTATGGGAGGAGGTACATGACCTCGGTTTTGTTGGGGCCAGGTTGATCATCGGGTCATGGGAAGCACCAAGGTGGTGCTTAAGACCACAGAGTTGCTTCAACAGGTGCGCGACAAGTTGCGGGTCTCGCCAAGTCGACATAAGAGTTATGTTGAACGCCGACGTTTGGACCTTGAGTTTTAGGTGGCAGACTTGGTGCTGCTAAAGGTGTCACCTTGGAATGGTGTCATTTGGTTTTAGAAACGGGGCAATTTGCCCCCCCCCCCCCCCCCCCCCCCCGGTTTATCAGTCCTTTCAGGGTTACTGCCCGGGTAGGCAGGGTTACATACCGGTTGGGTCTTCCTGATGAGCTCAGTCAGATACATAACACTTTCCATGTGTCTCAGTTGCAGAAGTATGTAGGCGATGATTCAGTAGTGATATCACTTGATGACATTCGGGTGGATGAGCGCCTAAATTACGTGGAGAGGCCAATTAAGATTCTCATCAGGAAAACTAAAACTTTGCGCAACAAGGTGGTGAATCTGGTGAAGGTGCAATGGCAGCACCAAAAGGGCTCTGAGTGGACGTAGGAGCCGGAGCACGAGTTGAAGGAGCACTACCCAGATTTGTTAGCATCAACGGACTTCAAATACGAAGTCTAATTCAAGTGAGGAGGATTTGTACCATTCAATTCTAGGTATTTTCCTTTTTGGTCCTTGAAGTTTAAAATATTTTGCGAAAATGGTCCCCTCATACATTAGGCGTACTTAGGTACGCTTAGCGTATATGCACACCTTGGATCGGGAAGCTTAGCCGCGTATGCTGGGCGTATGCAGCCAAAGACTAAACCCTAATTTTTGGGGGTATGAGCCCTATTTAAGCAACATTATATCCTTTAGACACTCATCCTCATCAGCCTCCACTACTATTCGCGTCCCATTAAACCCTACTTTACCCGTTTGAGTGTTCTTGAGCTTGGAAGTGACTTTTGTGGCCTTTTGGTGTGTTTTGAAGAAGAACATGGAGACAAATCATTTTTTGAGGTTGGGCTTCTAGATCCAAAGTCTACACCAACTTAGGAAGCTTTTGAAGGTAAAAAGTTCTTACCTTGATGGTTCATTTGGTTGTTAAAGTTTAGGGCTTGTTTATGACTTCATTTTGGTCCCATGGGTTCTTTTGTGAGTTTGGGAAACTCCAGAAGTTAGAAGTGTTACATCTAAGCCCCTTTGATGTTTTAGATGCATAAAAATGTCATCTTGGTGGTTGATATGAGTCCATACATGATTTTAAGTCCTTAATGTGAGCTTTATTGGACAAAAATGGATTTTAGGTTCCATTAAGACATGATAAGGCATAAAGGGATCCAACTTTATGTCTAAGAACCCCACAATGGCAGAGATTTAAAAGTTGGATCAATTGGATGTAACGATTAAGCACCAAATGGCTTAAGGTGGTAAGCAACTCATTACTCTGAGCATACCAAGGGGTACATCGATGTTACATAGAGTATGCCTAATGTACGCCTCTTAGTGGGCTTTTGGACTTTGTTTTGGCTTTGGACTTTTGGGCCTTAGATAGTTTGGGTTTTGTCCTGTTTAGGGAAGACGAGCCTCAAAAATTTTCTAGTGGGCCTTAAGATGTATGAGTTGGGCCTATTGGGTCTTGGGGCCTATTATTGTGTTTTGGTCCATGGTTGGTTAGGCCCATCATGGGAAGGTAATGGGCCTTTATCTTAGGAGTCTGGAATTAGGGCTCAGGCCCATGATTATGGTTTATAATCTATCTCTGATTAGGGTAATTTGTGTGTGTTCAGTGTGGGATCTTACGGTTCGATAGCCGAATAGTTAGTTATTTATCAGTGGACTGATGTGAGTTTTCTCACTAAATCAATGGGTCGAAGGCACCAAGGCCAACCCATTATTTATGATATAGGGTGTTAGCTATATTTAAGATATGTATATGAAGAGATAGATTCGCCCATGTCAATTGCAAAAAGACCAGGATTTGACCCCTGACAACTGTATGAAAGACCAGGATATGGCTCCTGGCATTTGTATGAAAGACAAGGATCTAGCCCCTGACAACTGCAAGGAAGATCGGGATTTGGCCCTCGGCAGGAACTTGTTTGTAAGATTATGGCTTGGTCCATAGCACTGTTTTATTTATATTTGGTATGTGGTACTTTGGGGAAATTCATTAAGATTTTGCTTACAGTTTAGAATGTGGTTTTAGGTACATCCGGTACTAACGAGAAGGGTCCGACGTGATGACACAACATTCCCTCCTCATTATTTTCTGCATTTTTGATATTGTACTCCGATAATTTGACATTATTGTTATGTAAAGGGTGTTTGGAACAATGTGAAGATTGTAAACCTTCTTTATTTAGAATGAAAAAAAAATTTATTGTGATTTTTGGGCTGTTACGCTAGGGAGTTTGGGTGCATATTAATGCTATAAGGGAGTAGAGACGAAGATGATTATCAAGGGGATAAATCTGCCATAAGGGTATTTTTTGCACGTACAATATTAATTTTTGGAAAACAACCATAAAATATAAACGATATCTCCAGAAAAGTCCCAATATTTTGGGATATTTTTTAATAAAGTCTTAAATTTTTTTTGAATAAAAAAGTCCTGACTTTTTCACCTTTTAAATAGAAAGTCCAAGAAACCGGCTAAAATATTCACTTTAGCCCTTTTTGACCTGTTCAACAGGTCATGGGACCAAGTTGTTAATTTTTCAAAAATAATGAGACTTTTTTTTGCAGATTTCGCCAAATTTTTTATATAATGTATAAACATATTTTTTACATATCTATATCTATTTTTATGTATTTTTGTATTTTTTTTTATGTTTTTATATTTATATATATCTACGTATTTTTATGTATTTTAAATGTATAGACGTATTTCTTTTAATTTATTTATAGGTATTTTTAACCATTTTACATATTTTTTACATATTTTTATGTATTATTTGTTTATCTATTATGTATTTATATATATTTTACATATTTATGTATTTTTTAAAGTTTTTTATATAGATGTTTATGTATTTTAAGTGTATAAACGTATTTTTTTACGTATTTATATCTATTTTAAGTATTTTACATATTTTTCATGTATTACGTATTTATGTATTTTCTAAAGTTTTTTATATAGATGCTTTTGTATATTTATGTATTTAAATGTATAACGGTATTTTTTACGTATTTATATGTATTTTTTGAAGTATTTTACATATTTTTGTGTGCTTTTATATATTATGTATTTATATATTTTTGCATATATATATATATATATATATATATATATATATATATATATATATATATATATATATAGTTTTCTTATATATATGTTTATGTATTTTTATGTATATTAAATGTTTAGTTGTATTAGTTTTGCGAAAAAAAATATATAAACACGTAAAAATAATACAATTAAACATTTAATATACATAACAATACATAAACATCTATATAAGAAAACAAAAAAAATACATAAATACGCAAAAGTACATATAAATACATAAAAATAAAAACACACAAAAAATATGTAAATTACTTAAAAAATACACATAAATATGTAAAACAATACGTCTATACATTTAAAATACATAAATATACAAAAACATCTATATAAAACTCTTCAAAAAATACATAAATATGTAATGCATAAAAATATGTAAAATACTTAAAAATAGATATAAATACGTAAAAAATATGTTTATATATTTAAAATACATAAACATCTATATAAGAAGCTTTAAAAAAATACATAAATACGTAAAAATACATATAAATACATAATAAATAAAAAATAACACATAAAATACATAAAAAGAATATCTAAAATGGTTAAAAATACATATAAATAAGTAAAAAAAAATACTTTTATATATTTAAAATACATAAAAATGTGTAAATATATACATATAAAAACATAAAAAATACACAAATACATAAAAATGGATATAGATATGTAAAAATTATGTTTATATATTATATAATTTTTTTGACCTAAACAGAAAAAAAATCCCATTATTTTCTAAAAATAAACAATTTGGTCCTATGATCTATTGAACAGGTCAAAAATGATTAAAGTGAATAAATTAACCGGTTTTTTGGACTTTTCTATTCAAAATGTAAAAAAGTAGAACTTTTTTATTCAAAAAATAAAATTTAGAACTTTATTAAAAATTTACCCAAAATATTGGGATTTTTTTGGAGATATCCTAAAAAATAACATAAGGAGAGTTTGTCTGTTTACTCCAAAAAAAACTCAATTAAATCCCCTAGAACGTTTCAACAAGTCCACTCTTGTCCTTCATTTCTCTAAAAAAAGAAATATATATTTGTTGGTGTGTAAAAGATAAATAATTTCTTTTGAAAAAAATAATGTTTCAACCATTAGAGTGAAATTCACTTTGAAGTCACAATCATTATACAGATATATGATTCAGATCGTGTTTATCCATAATATTTGCTTATGGGTCACCGACGTTCTGCATGTTTACAAAACAATGCAACTAACAAAATTAACTTCTTGCTATCTATCATTCCTCAGTGATACTAGTATCTACATGAATAACATTACACTCTTAGTGTCTTCTTGACCACAGATTAAGTTACAAATAACTGCAGGCTTCGAATTTCTAGTTAGATATTTTTGCAACGTACACATGATAGTTAGAGTAAAACTTCACGTGATTGTTGGTAGAGAGAGCAGATCTTCTCCTTCAACTTTTCAGCTTCTATTTGAAGATCGCTTTGCACCTGTTCAAGACAATATGATATGATTGTTATCATTTCCATTCAATACTAGAATTGCAAATATGATATATATAGTATGCCTCATCCAAGTAGTACACTCTTAACACTAAATTACGAACTTCACTACTATAGTACACTCTTAACACATTAAAGTGAATTTGTAAAATAGAAGGGAATGTACCTGAAGGTAAAGAGTGTTTAAGAACCTTTCTTCTCCAAGACACTTGGAGGTAGTTGCATTTAGCATAAAAATCCCATCTTCTTCCTCCTCTAAGTATTCCAAAACCATAGACAAGAAGGCAATCCCAGTGTTCTTATTCAAATGATCATTAGAAGAAATCAACTGGATCACAACTTCTTTCTCATCAAGGACACACACAGACACAACGACTGAACATATTTTTTGAATTGTAGCTTCTTTAGGACATTGGTTTTTGATCTCTAAATGATCTGAACAAGACAAAAGCCTGTCTTTTTTTCTTCTCAACGCCTCCACTTCCGTTTGTAGTTTAGGTAAGTATTTCAGCGCACATGATACAGTGCCAGGGATGCTCACCTTTTTCTGTTGCACATGACAAATTTATTTCCATTATATCCGGAAGTATTTAAAAATATTGGAAACATCATAATATATTTGTACTCAAACAAAAAAAAAAGCAGAAACTTATGACTTTTGAACATTTCCATCTTTAAAATAAACACGTAAGTGGTTTAAGTACCTTTTGATCACTTGACATGGGGAGCACTGAACGAAGAAATGCATACAAGTTATTAATCTTCTGACGACGATCTCTTTCATTTGCATTATGGTTTAGCTTTTTGGTGAGCTTCATAGGATCACGAACACTGCAATTTACAGCTCCTTGAGAAGAAATGGAATTGTCTGGTGTAAAATCATACTGGTTTTGATCATCTCTACGAATATCAAGAAGGGAATGATATGAATTTGTTTCAACTTCTGTAGAAATATCATGGAAATCATGTTGAAGATTTTGGGCAAAGAGATCCTCCAAGGGCCATCCATAGGTTGCTGAAAACAAAGAAGGGGATACTGCCAGCATTTTCCTTTCGTTCTTCTGTATCTTAAGGATATTTTTTGTGTGCAGAAAGTTTGATGAAAAGGAGAGGATGATGGATTTTCGTATATATACAATGGTATTGTGAATTCTTTTTGCATTATAAAACTAGTTTGACATCATCTACGAATCAAAGTTGTCCACATATTATTAGAAGAATCGGTGTAAGTTAGATGAATAACAAATGCTGTTCTAAAAAAAAAGAAGAATCTGTCTAATGAAAGTATATTCTTTTATTATTATTATTATTTTTTTTTTTCAAAAGAGGTTTGCAATTGGAAAAATTACAGATCTAATATTAATTGATATGTAAATGTATGGGGTGTGTTTGGAATTGAATATTTAAAACAACTTACCTTTTTGCAAACCATATATAATAATATAAGTTTCTTAATTCTATAGAAAAATACAATAAGCTAATAAGTAATCTCAATTTTCCGATTTAAGGAGTATAGTGCATAGAAACGGCAAAGGTAATTAACGAACAATATGTGTAATCTTCATTAGTAATTAATCAATTTCTTCATTTTGAATCCTAACCTTTAGCTCATTTTTTTTTTTTTTTTTTTTTTTCAGTTTTTTATAAGAATAAAATATTAGCATTAATTTGCATATAATATTCGTAGATTTAAGGCTATTTTACAAAAAATCTAGCTGTATTAGATTCTTGTTTTAGAAGAGATAAGGTCAATTACAATACAAAATAGTCAAAACATTGCTATTTGTGCGCAAGTATCTGTATATATGTGTTTACGATCGAGAGAAATAATATTAGAATATTTGAATTCACTATTAGCGAAAGGATTCCCGTGGAGCTCGTGCCATGCCCACGCTCAAAGTAGGCTTCCCATTCATGATTCCGCTCCACGTTTCGCATGGCACGTGGTATCCTCGCTTTCCCACACTCACCCTCACTCTCCGGAGTGCACCCATCCCCTTTCTTCTTCTGGCGTTTTGTTTCGACCTGACACTTGTTTATGCGAAGTTGACGCCATTTATTATTAGTTTATGTAGTTAATTATTTTCAAGTATATATGCTGACTGCTCTGATATCTATTATAAGTTATTTTATTAAATTTTTTCAACTGTCTGAGAGCAACCCAACCCAACACTCGATTTTGACTTTAATTTTATATTCTTTTAGTTTTTCATTCCTAACAAAGCTGTGTGATGAATTATGACAAAATGTGCATCATTTTGAACATTGTTTGTTTTCGATATGAAGTAAAATGGTTATCATCTATCATCATTTTTGAGGTTAGACGTGCTATTTTTCTTATATATTACTTGTTCTATGCAACATATACTGTTAGACCTTTTAATAATTAATTTCTGAAATGAAGTTTAATCTCATTATTCAAAGTTGGAGTTTAAATGGAAAAAGCTTCGAAAAAAATTCTGAATTGCAAGCAAAATGGAGGCCTTGACATAGGAAGCCTTCACGCCCTTAATCTTGCTCTACTCGGTAAGTGGTGGTGGCGCTTGAAAAATGAAGATGATGCTTTTGGAAAGAAGTCATCCAATCAATTCATGGTAGTGATGGTGAAATTGGTCTCTGTTAGATCTACTACCCATAGATGTGGTATTTGGGGAAATATTAGCCACTTGCACCTTGCACTTGATCATCAAGACATCCACGTTACAAACATGTTTCCATGGGAGAATCAAAAGTGGAGTTGGAGTGAAGAACCTGATGGTAAATTCATTGTGATGATTACCGATGCTAAAATTTTGACCAAATGTCCGCTCAAGATCGCTTGGAATAAAATTACACCGGGAAACGCTAATCTACTTGTTTGGAGGGGACGGTTAGGCAAATTACCAACTCGAACCAATCTTAACCACATTGGAGTTAATGTGGGTTCTCTTCTATGTCCCTTATGCAATACAAAACAGGAAACAAAAGGTCACATTTTCAAGGATTGCTCAATTGCTTTGGAGGTTCGGTCAACCCTTCATAATTGGTGGACCGATTTTCCAATTGTTGCGACCTCGATTCAACATGCTTTCACTCCTGAGTGTGTTGCTAATAACCTAAAGAAGGAACACAACGATATTTCTGTTCTTTTATTGGCCTTTGCTTAGGCGATTTGGACCTTCAGAAATGGATTGTATTTCACAGCAAAACGAAGAACACCACTGTTCATGTTAGCGAGGTTAAGGTTCTTGCCTTTCATTAGCTTAAAATTAAAGCTAGGAGAGGTTGTATGTTAAATTGGAATAACTGGTGTTGAGATCTGAAGGCTGGATGTCTTAATATCTTGTAATTCTAGCTTCTTGCTAACTTTTTCATTGGAATGATAACTTTCTTGTTGCTCATATATATATATATATATATATATATATATATATATATATATATATATATATATATATATATATATATATATATATATATATATATATATATATATATATATAATGATTCAATGGATACCTTAGTCGTTTATGTGGATTATTCAGTTGTGAATGTAATCGTTGCCAGGTGACATTATTACTATGATGACAACGGGAGTCCGAGGTGCACCGACTCAGTTGGATCCTCATGTTTTATAAACCCTATTATGAGTTCCACTCTTTCTAGTTCGGTCGTGTACAAAACACAATTACATCAATCCTATGAGACATGATCAATTTTGTGTAAGAAAATATTAGGGTTTGTAGTGGAGATCCGGATACCAACTTGGATCGTGAGAACACTTTCCGAACTGATATTTCTACCATATGCTTGGGTTGCAAGAAATTCAACCTAGGATAATCGAAATGGACTCTTATGATTCTAGGCACAGAAATCGTAATCCAATTTACTAGAGAGATTCTGTGAGAGTTTGCTGAAAACGAGTGCTAATAATCGAAACTCTCTTCTGAAAAGGAAGAAACTTTTATACATTAAACGAGATTAGGGTTTCATTAGGGTTGGGCCGCCATTAGTTGCTTTGGAAGCAAGTTAAGATAATCTGGATCTAATGAGGATTTAGGGTTACCAAAACTAACGAGTTTCATTAGTTTTACCATAATCATCCTTAAGAAATTGAATTTTCCACTATAATTCATGTGTTCCAATCTATAAGTATGAGCTTTTCACATTGAATTTAACTCCTAACATTATATTAGTAGGGAATTGGGTGTCTCATCATTACAAAATTAAATGGACTTTAATCCCATCACGATTACAGACTTGTGCACTAAGTCTCTTGTCAGACCTTTAGTCAAGTGATCTACCAAATTTTGTTGCGATTTCACAAACTCAACCAAATCACACCATTCGTGATTAGTTCTCTAATCATACTATGTCTAACACATAGGTTTCTAGACTTGCCATTATAAACTTGGCTATATGCCTTAGCCAAAGTGGCTACACTATCACCAAGGATAGAAATAGGTGCTATCAGTTTAGACCACAAAGGAATCTCATAGACTAAATTCCTTAGCCACTCTGCTTCTTTACCAATAGCTGCTAATGCAACAAACTCAGATTCCATTATCGAGTTTGTAATGCAAGATTGCTTCTTGGAAGCCCAAGAAAATACACCTCCTCCAATCAAGAATGCCCAACCAGAAGTTGAGGAATGGTCCTCCATGTTTGTTATCCAACTTGCATCCGAATGACCTTCTAAAACTGAAGGAATCCCTAAGTAGCTCAAACCATAATCCATAATTCCATTTAGATACTTAAACAATCTATTTACCGTTTGCCAATGTTGAGCACTTGGATTAGTAGTATACCTGCTCAACTTACCCACATCAAAGGTAATATCAGGTCTGGTACTTGTCATGGCATACATCAAGCTACTAATAGCCTTAGAATATTCCAATTGTGAAATGCGAACGCCATTATTTGGCATTTATTTCACACTTGGATCCATAGGAGTACTCACAGGAGAACAGTTGGTAAAATTAAACCGCCTGAGAATTTTCTCAATATAATTACTTTGAGTCATTACCAATCTTTTGTTCATCCTCTTAGTTCTTATTCCAAGAATTACATAAATCTTTCATGGAAAACTTGGATGATAACAATTTCTTTGTTTCAGCTACTTGTTTTTGGTCGGTACCAAAAATCAACATGTCATCTACATATAAGCAAATGATAACTCCAGCTCTAGTAGCATCATAAAATCTACTATAAACACATTTGTCACATTGGTTTTTCTTGAAAACAAAAGACAAAATCACCTTATCAAATTTTTGATGCCATTGTTTAGGCCCTTGTTTCAGCCTATACAAAGATTTGAAAAGTTTACACACCATGTGCTCTTTACCGGGAATAATGAAACCTTCTGGTTGTTTCATGTAAACTTCCTCATCAAGATCACCATTTAAAAAGGCTGTTTTCACATCGATTTGGTGAATGACCAGATTGTGGATACTTGCCAAGGCAATCAACAATCTAATAATAGAAATTCGTGCAACTGGAGCACGCATATTAAAATAGGCAATACCGGTTTTTTGTCTAAAACCTTGAATGACTAACCGGTCTTTGAATTTGTCAATAGTCCCATTAACATTCATTTTATTTTTGAAAATCCATTTGCAACCAAGATGTTTAGAACCCGGAGGCAAATTAGACAACACCCATGTGTTGTTCTCAAGAATTAATGACATTTCATCATCAATTGCTTCCTTCCAAAAGGCACTATAACGAGACTCCATGGCCTCTTGATATGTCTTAGGATCACCTTCAATACTATAACAATAAGAGTATTCAAGATTAATTTCATCCCTTGAACCTTCCACCAAATACAGTTGGAAGTCGGATCCGATTTTTTATTTTTTGCAATTTGGCCTCTTTTGCTTCTACAAAGCTCTTGTGGTTCTTGCATGATACCACCATCTTGACTTTCTGAATTTTGTTCTTTATTAGCACTAAAAGTCAGATCCTTAGGCATTTGAGTCGATGAAAACCGTATCTCATCAAAAATTGCATCCCGTGATTCGATAAAAGTGTTAACTGAAACTGAATCATTAGGTTCTATTACATAAAACCTATATGCCTTGGAATATCCAACATATCCAATGAATATGCAATCAATTCCACATTCTCCCAAATAT